AGGCTGGATTTTCTTGCTATGGGTCTCTCACAAGGCTACAGTCACATCAAAGCTTACCTGGAAATTTCCTTCCTAGCTCATCCACCTGGTTGTTGGCAAGATCATTTCCTAGCAGGTTATTGGACTGAGGCTTCAGTTTCTCGTGAGCTGTTGGCCTGAGGTTTCCTTTGGTCCCTTGGCACATGGGCCACTTCATAGAGCATCTTGCAACATGGCTGCTTGCTTCATCAGACCAACCAAGAAAGAAGGCAAAAGAAAGAGCAAGAGAAAGTTGGAAGTCAGTCTTTTATAACCCAGTATTTAAGTGAATTCCATAAATTTTCTGTATCCTATTTATAAGAAGCAAGTTACTAGGTCCAGCCCATATTCAGAGGGGAGGGGACTATACAAGGGTATGACCTCCAGGAGGCTGGGATCACTAGGGCCATTTTGGAAGGCTGCATATTGAGTAGATAATTGTATTCCTGTACATTCCAACACTTTTAGATATATAGTTAGGTTGTTGCTAGTGGTCCTACCAGGAACAGCTTCCAGGAATGGGAATACAGCCAAACAGTGGGAAAAAAGAAAAAATAGTTTGAGGATGGATCATCTGGGTCTTGAATGTCAAGTTAAGGAATTCATATTTTACTCTAAAGGTAGTGGGAGTCATAAATATAATTGAGCACAGGGATGACCAGTTAGAGATGTCCTTCTAAAAGTTCAAATGGATTGGAGGGAAAGGAGATTGGGGATGGGAAGACAGGTTCCCTAGCAATTGTAATCATTTGGGTGAGAGGAAATGAACAGGGTTGTTAACAGAGTAAATGAAAGGAGGAAACAATATTAGAGATATTATGGAAGAAGGGTGATAGAACTTGGTTTCTGTACGTACCGAGATCAGAATTGGTTTTTTGAAAAAATAAACAAAATCAACAAACTCTTGACTAAGAAAAAAAGAAGACTCAATTAAAATCAGAAACAAAAGAGGAGTCATTACAACGGATGCTCAGAAACAAAAAGGATCCCAAGGGACTGTTCTGAACAGTTACATATGAACACATTGAATAAACTAGAAGAAATGGATAAATTCCTAAAAACATACAATCTACCAAGACTGAATCAAGAAGAAGTCAAAAGCCTGAAATAACAAATAAGGAGATTGAAATACTAATAAACTTTCTCCTACCAACAAAGAAAAGTTCAGGACCAAATGGCTTCATGACTAAATATTCAAAGAAGAATTGATACTAATTTTTCTTAAACTCTTCCTCCCCAAAAAACAGGTAGAAGGAATACTTTCAAATTCATTTTATGGGGCTAGTATCAGCCTGATACCAAAGTCAGACAAAGACACCACAAGGAAACTACGAGCTAATATCTCTGATGAACACAGATGCAAAAATACTCAACAAAACACTAAAAGACCAAGTCCAACAACACATCAAAAAGATTATACACCATGAATAAGTGGCATTTATCCCTGGAATTCAAGTTTAATTTAATATACATAAATCAATCAATGTGATACACCCCATTAAGAGGATAAAAGATGAAAACTACGTGATCAAATCAGTAGACTCACAAAAATACCTTTGACAAAGTTCAACATACATTCAAGATAAAAACTCTCAACAAAAGAGGTGTGAAAAGAAATTTTCTTAACACAATAAAGGCCATTTATTAAAAGTCCACAGATAACATTCATAATCGATGGGGAAAAAAAAAACTGAAAACACTTCCTCTAAGATCTGGTACAAGGAAAAGATGCCAACTCTTACCACTTCTATTCAACAAAGTAATGGAAATACTAGTAAGATCAATTAGACAAGAAAAATAAATAAAAGACATCTAAATTGGAAAGGAAGAACTATTTACAGATGATGGGATTCTCTATGTAGAAAATCTGAGGACTCCACAAAAAAATTGTTAGAATAAACAAATTCAGTAAAGGATGTAAAATAATCATACAAAAATCAATTGCATTCTTTACAACAACAATGATCTATCTGAAAAAGAAATCAAGAGAATAATTCCCTTTATGATAGCATCACAAGGAATAAAATATTTAGAAATAAATTTAACCAAGGAGGTAAAAGATCTGTACACTTGGGGTGCCTGGGTGGCTCAGCTGGTTAAGTATCCGACTCTTCATCTCAGCTCAGGTCATGATCTCATGGTTTGTGCGATTGAGCCCCACATCATTAGTAGCACTAACAGCTTGGAGCCTGCTTGGGATTCTCTCTCTCCCTCTCTCTCTCTGTCCCTCCCCATTTTTCATTGCTCTCTCTCTCAAACTTAAAAAAAAAGATCTGTATACTGAAAACTATAAAACACTGATGAAAGAACTTGAAGATGACACAAATAAATAGATATCTTGTGTTCATGGATCAGAATTAGTATTATTAAAATGTCCATTACTACCCAAAGTGACACACAAATTCAATTCAATCTCTATCAAAATTCCAATGACATTTTTCACAGAAATAGGAAAAGCAATTCTAAAATTTGCATGGAACCACAAGAGACTCCAAATAGCCAAAGCAATCTTGAAAAAGTAGAACAAAGTTGGAGGCATCACACTTCCTGATTCAAAATTACATAGCTTTGTTGCTATATTAATTAAAATAATTAATCAAAATAATGTAGCTATATTAATGATAATAATAAAAAAATGACACATAGACCACTGGAACAGAATAGAGAGCCCAGAAATAAACCAAAACATATACAGTCAATTATTTTCAACAAGTATGCCAAAAACACAATAGGGGAAGGATAGTTTCTTCAGTAAATGATGATGGGAAAACTGAATAACCCATGCAAAAGAATGAAATTGAATCCTTCATCCTACACAAAAATCAATTCAAAATGGATTAAAGAGTTAAACATAAGATTTGAAACATTAAAACTCCTAGAAGAAAATATCGAGAAAAAGTTCTTTGACATTGACCTTGGCAATGACTTCTTGGATATGACATCAGAAGCTCAGACAACAAAAACAAAAAGTAAACAAGTAGGACTACATCAAATTAAAAAGCTTCTGCTCAGCAAAGGAAACAGTCAACAGAAGGAAATGGCAACCTATGAACTGAAGGAAAATATTTGCAAATTACATATCTGACAAGGGGTCAGTATCCAAAATATACAAGGAATTCATATAGCTCAATAGCAAAAAACAATATGTTTAAAAACTGGGAAGGATCTGATTAGATATTTTTCCAAAGAAGACATATGAGTGGCCAACAGGTATATCAAAAGGTGCTCAAAATCACTAAAGAGGATTAGGGAAATGCAAACCAAAGCCACAATGAGATATCATGTCACATCTGTTAGGGTGGGTTATTATCAAAAATAAATTGGTGAGATGTGAAGAAAAGGTATCCCTTGTACACTGTTGGTGGAAATATTAATTGGTAGAACATTATGGAAAAACAGTGTGGAGGTTCCTCAAAAAATTAAAGATAAATCTACCATCGGGCCCAGAAATCCCTCTTCTGGGTAAATACCCAGAAGAAATGCAATCAGTACCTTGAAGAGATTTCTGCACCTTCATGTTCATTGCAGCATTATTCACAGTACCCAAGATGTGGAAACAACCCGAGTGTCTGTTGATGGATGAATGGATTAAGAAATTGTGGTGTATATATATGTGCAGTAGAATATTGCAATAGAATACTAGCCTTAAAAAGAAAGAGATCCTGCCATTTGCAGCAACATGGATGTACCTGGAAGACATTATGCTAAGTGAAAGTAGCCAAGCACAGAAAGAAAACAACTAGTAGGTGGAATCTAAAAAAACTTAAAAACCTAAAAGTAGAGAGTAGAATGGTGGTGTCCAGGGGCAGGGAAGTGGGGAGAACGGGGAGATGTTGGTCACAGGGTACAAAGTTGTGGTTATATTGGATGAGTAAGTCTAGAGATGTAATGTACAGCATGATGACTACAGTTAATAATACTGTATTGAATACAGGAAATTTGCCAAGAGAGTAGATTTCAGGTGCTCTCATCACACACGAGCAAAGTACGCATGTGAGGAGATGATGTGTCAAATACCTGACTGAGGTAATCGTTTCACTCTATGTATATACGGTAAAGCCTTCGTTTGTGAGCTTAATTCACTCCAGAAACATGTTGTAATCCAAAGCACTTACATATCAAAGTGAATTTCAAGAACCATTGATTCAGTTGTGATCATGGGGCGTTTGGCATCACGTACTACTCATATTGCAAGACATTGCTTGTTTATCAAGTTAAAATTTATTAGAAATGTTTGCTCACCGGGGCGCCTGGGTGGCTCGGTCAGTTAAGCGTCCGACTTCGGCTCAAGTCATGATCTCGGGGTTTGGGAGTTCGAGCCCTGCGTTGGGCTCTGTACTGACAGCTTGGGACCTGGAGCCTGCTTCAGAGTCTGTCTCCCTCTTTCTCTGCCCCTGTCCCACTTGTGCTCACGCTCTCTCTCGCTCGCTATCTCTCAAAAATAAATAAATATTAAAAAAGTTAAAAAAAGAAATGTTTTCTCATCTTGCACCACACTCGCAGAACAAGTTATAGCAATCCACGGTGTTACTGTATATTAAATCATTATGTTGTACACCTTAAATGCGTGCAATTTTTAATTAAAAAAAGTGAGGAGAGGAATGGGAGAAACTGAAAATGTCCCAGCTGTAGCCTAAGTGACTGGTTTGTAGTAATGGTGTACTAACAAAAACTGGAACACAGTGGGGGGATCACAGCTGGGAGGAAGGTTGAGAAATTTGGACAGAACACATGGGCCATTTTCCACCAGCAATGACAGAGCAGGGATGTGTCCTGTGCCCCCAGCACCTAGAGTAAGTGGCTGATGCTCTCTACACAAGTGTTCCTGCACTTACTTTGCAGGTACTTTGTGCAGAAACGAGCAATGCATTCAGTTTGGGGTGAATCTGATGAAGCGGCCCTGGATTTTCAGTTTCGGGGTCACACAGGAGGGCCGGAGAGAGCGTGTGATTTTTCATCCTGCGACACCACCAGCCACTATCTGTTTCTGGAACTTGTGCTCTTCTGGACCCTCTCCTCATGGGTGCTCTTGCTGTGTTACAAAGTGTGGCCAGCAGGGCCCATTTTCCCATTGAAGAAGGTGGTGGGTGAGGCCTGAGCAGAGCCAACGGCGCTCCTTCAACGATGACGTTTTAGTTGATTGGCTTCTTGAATGAGTTTTGAGTCACTTAATTCAAACTTTCAATCTTTCTCATGCCAGACTGTAGGTCTTCCTAGAGATGTCTTTTAGGATTTCCACAGCATAACATGAAATTGGGTTGTAACCCTCATATGGGAAGCCCTATAAGAAGGACTGTAAGAAGTATGTTTCTTGCTCAAAGCTAAGGAGGTCCAACAAAAAGCTTCTCTCTCTGTCTCTGTCTCTCTCCATACATATGGAAGAGGTGATTTATATACATGATTTCATATAATCCTCTCAATGACTCCATGAGGTGGCATTATAGCCATATTTTCTTCGTGTCGCAGATCAGGAAACCAAGGTTTATGGAGGTAGAGCAATTGGACCAAAGCCGCACAGCTAAAATGTTATGAAGTTGGAATAAATGGAAAATACGTAAAGGGGAAATAATACTAGATAAGCACTTGGGACAGTGTTTTCTGTTTTTAATTCTATTGTTTTTTTTTTCCCTCCGTAGAAGACAATACATTTGAAATTTTGTTGAGAAGTAGAAAGTTATATATTCTTTTCCTGCTTTTCAAAATTAATATGTTAGGGGAATTGAAATGATTTTGTCCTTGCTTGTATACTCTCTCCTCCTTTCATTCTAACTTGCGTTTAATGGCAAGATTATTCTTTCATGCCGTGTCCTTTCCAAGTCACTCTCCAGTGAAAAGCCATCAGTGGTTCCCCATTGCATATACAGGATATGGTCCAACTGGCTTGGTCTGGAGATTCTCAACTTTTTTCTCTTTTATATTCACAGCATTCTCTGAAATAGTCACATCGTTTACTGCATGCTTGAAGGGATTAAAAGACTCAAAATCCCAGAAAACTTGTCAGCAATCACTGCAACACGTTCCCTGTCGCAGTAGTGAGTGATCTTGTGGCACCCATAAAAGCGGCCCCAGGGAACGTGGCGTTCCCCTGCCCTTGGCTGCCCTTGGCTGCCCTTGGCTGCCCTTGGCTGCTGTGTTGCAGGTCGAGGCCAGGGCCACACCTTCCTACTTGAGAGGGAATGTTGCCGCGGGTTCCTGAGGCACACCACCTTCCTTGCTTGCTGACTTGGTCTGCCCTCTTGGTGACAGCAAGCTTGAGAGCTGCTTTATGGGGCTTTGCACGACTCTCCCGGCTCGTCATCTGTCACAAAGAGACGCTGCTTTAACGGCAGCTTTCCTCGGTGGTAGCATAAATGTATTTTCCACATTAATAAAAGTTAGCAGCTGGAGACGGCAGCACACCTGTTGACAGTCCCTTGGATGGTTGTGTCTCCCTCCCCTAGGACTCTCAGCTCCCGCCACGGTGCCCTTGCTCAGGACAATCCCCGCCTGTTATCTTCTCCTTGTTCCGAAACCTTAACCATGCTTCGTGATCTGGGCTAATTGTTCATTTCTGCCCCCAAAGCTCTCCTGGTGACTCCTGCCTGTGGTGGTCTCCCCCTCCGAACGCCTCTGCCATCTTTTCTCTGTGCAGCATACTTGGTGTCCCCGTGGGGACACCCCTGCTTCGACAAAATCGCGATTGCCTGGAGGGCCAGGCCCATGTATTACCCACTGCAGCTGACACGCTGATTTCTGGGCACTTAATTTTGCAGACTGAATTGCACAAAATTTTGTGCAGACTAAGTGGCCAGAAATCTGAGTCCGAGGGCGTTTTAAACCCGCTGCAGACAGTGTGTTTTCCTATCTGAGGCATTACCAGGATGGCTGTTCAAAAACAACCAGCCACGTGATACAGCTAAAAAGTGTCCTGTGGGTGAGCGCCGGCTAAGGGGAAACTGTTGTTGTTGCTGTTGCACAACCTTATATCCTTTCCAAGATACTCTTGTGGGGCTCTGTTCACCTTTGTTTCCTGAGATGGAATTGCTGAATTCCCACCCTGTGGCACACCTCTTGCTGCCCAGAGAACTTCTGTGGTTTTCTAGAAGAATGGTTCCCTACAACTCCTCCCAGTTTTCTGGATTTACCAGCAAGATGTGGAAAAAGCTGGCTTCCCAGACGAAGGGTGGTTCTGGGCAACATTCTGTGGATTCCTTGTGCATATTTAAGCATTGGGCATGGAGCACAGTCTGTTTGTATGGGCTTTGAAAGAAAATTGCGTTGAAAGGGTTTTGGGGAGCAGTGTTTGTGAGAAGAATATCTATGACTGCCGTGGAAAGGTAGTCTTTTTAAAATTTATTTATCATTTTTAAGTGTATTTTTATTTTGAGACAGAGATAGAGAGCGAGCAGGGGAGGGGCAGAGAAAGAGAGAGAGAGACAGAGTCCCAAGTAGGCTCCACGCTGTCAGTGCAGAGTGGGGCTGGAACTCGGGAACTGTGAGATCATGACCTGAGCCGAAATCAAGAGTCCAACACTTAACCAACTGAACCACCCAGGTGCCCCTAATCTTTTAAAAATTTAAAACATGGTCTTTGGCTGCATTTTCTAACCTCCCCCCCACCCCGCCACCCGCATTTTCCGATCACTTGAGAATTTGGCCCTGCGCGTATTGGATTCCTACGTATTACTATTGTTTGGAATACACTCTCTCTGTTGGTGTTGAAATTCCTTACAAAACAGGCTGTGCTCATAGCTTTTTCTAGTGTGGTGGTTTTGGTTGTGGGTGTGCATTATCATCAGATAAGTGTTAAAAAAAAAATCCCCACCCCTTTCCCAGACCAATTAAATAGAAATCTCCAGCGTTAGGTCTGGGGCCTAGGTTTTTTTTCAAAAGGCTCTCGCAAGATTCAAATGTACTTTTCAGGCTGAGAACCACTGATGTAGTGGGCTCCCTGTGATCTCAGCTGGAGCTTGTTGAAAAGGGCCTGCTTGGTGGTGAGAGGCAGTATTGACTTTTGCCTAGTTCGGTAATTACTTCTGCATTTCCTTTTTACAGAAATTATACGAGAAGAAGTTTGGGAGAAGATCTCATTAACGGGGCTTGGGATTCATCATAGAGCTCCTTCCCAACCCAAACCAATGTAGATGCAGGTTGTTAGTTGGAAGACTTCAGATGTCTCACACTGATGTTCATGCTTTGTAAAAATTGTCTATGCATTTAAGAAAGATAGCCAGTGTGCCCAAGTGTCTGTTGAACAAGTTGTTTATTTGCTAATTTCTCAGAAAAGCAAGAAGTGGGCACAGGGACTGCCTTATAATTTTATATTACACAAGGTAGTTAACAACAACAAAAAATTGCCAAAATGTTGGCTTCCGATGTGCCCCATTTTGGGGATCTCACATAGGACTGTTAACTTTTCCCTCAACCATTGGCAAGGGACAACTGGACGCCACTTGCTGCAGAACTCTGTGTTTTGCCTTTCATTTTTACAGACATCTGGAGAAACATCTGATGAGCATAGAAAATAACTCTCTCAAGAGAAAAATCAGTAATTACTTTCTTGTTACTGAACATGCTGTTAAGCTTGTAGAATTTTATTTTATTGCTCTGTGAATTGATCCTTTCTAAGAATTTATTCTATAGGGGTCCATAGGGATGTCAAATTCCTCTGACAGCTGCTTGGAGACTTTTTTATTGACTCTGTAAAAGAAACACACCTAGTATCAGAACAGACCCTATTTAACCTATTTATTAATTGCACCAGCTCTTAAACTCCCCATTTATTTTCACTTAGTATTCACTCTGCTCCCTGCTTTCTCCCTTTTAACATAGCCAGTTATTTCCTACACTTTATTTATATATATATATATAAAATTTTATATATAAAATTCCTACTTTATATATAAAATTTTCCTACACTTTATTTATATATATATATAATATATATTTTTATATATATATATATATATATATATATATATATATATATTATATATATAATTGCTTGCTTGCTTGGGTGGTCCTAATATTCCCCCAAAACCTTCTACTTCCATGGTCTTACACTTCTGTGTAAATGGCAACTCCAACCTTCCAGTTGCTCGGGCCAAAGACTTTGGGACCATCAAGATCTCACCTGCAAGTCCTCCATGAGGATTGTCATGCCCTGCCTTCAGAATATGTCTTGAGTCTTGCCCCTGCACTGTTCCACCCCAGTCTGGGTCATCCTTCTCTATCCTGGAATACTGCTCTACCCTCATGACTCCTCCTCCTTCTGCCCTTCACCCCCAGTCTATTCCTAGCACAGCAGACAGAGATCCTTTTAAGTATGATCATACCATTCTTTTTTTTTTTTTAATTTTTTTTAACGTTTATTTATTTTTGAGACAGAGAGCATGAACAGGGGAGGGGCAGAGAGAGAGGGAGACACAGAATCTGAAACAGGCTGCAGGCTCTGAGCGGTCAGCACAGAGCCCGACGCGGGGCTCGAACTCGCAAACCGCGAGATCGTGACCTGAGCCGAAGTCGGACACTTAACCGACCAAGCCACCCAGGCGCCCCGATCATACCATTCTTAAGTCCCAGGTCCCTCCAGTGGCTTTCTGTTCCAGAGCAAAAGCCGTAATTCGTTACAGGACCTTGAAGGCTCTGAATAATATGGCATTGCTGTGACCGTATCTTCTACTGCTTTCTCCCTTGGTCACTCAACTCCAGCCACACTGACTTTGTACTCTTTCTGGAATAAACCAGACTCTCTCCCACCTCTGGACCTTTGCAAGGGTGTTTCCTTCACCTGGAACACTCTTCCCTCAGGTATTCCTATGCCTGGCTCCTTCGCCTCTTTCAGATCTCAGTGAGGCCTTTTCAGATAACCCCAATTACTAATTAAAATGGCAACCCCTCTATCATCCTTCCTTGCCATGTTTTTCTCCAAAGCACTTTTGATCATCAAACATATTACATGTTATCCATCTCTATCTATCTATCTATCTATCTATCTATCTATCTATCTATCTATCATCTATCTAACATCTAGCTGCCATCTCTCTATTGTCCTCCAGCTGGACCAAGCTCTTGAGAAATAGAGATTTTGGTCACTGCTTTGTTGCCAGGGTCTGAAACATTGCCCGACACTGTGGATGTTCAGTAAACATTTGTTGATGGAACATTGAGTGAATGAATAATGTGTGCTAATTTTTACCTTTAGTCATTCAGGCTTCTGACCAAACTTCTGTGATACATACAAACAGCATGCTCGATTTTAAGGGTAATGTTTTGTTGATTAACTGTTTACAAATCTTTTAAGTGAGATAATTTATTCTAGTAGTCTAGTTAAGATCATCTGAAAGCGAGGCGCCTGGGTGGCTCAGTTGGTTAAGCGTCCGACTTCAGGTCAGGTCACGATCTCACGGTCCATGAGTTCGAGCCCCGCGTCGGGCTCTGGGCTGATGGCTCAGAGCCTGGAGCCTGCTTCCGATTCTGTGTCTCCCTCTTTCTCTGCCCCTCCCCCGTTCATGCTCTGTCTCTGTCTGTCTCAAAAATAAAAAAAATAAAAACGTTAAAAAAAAAATTAAAAAAAAAAAGATCATCTGAAAGCATCAAAATGGTCCTCCAGGCCTTCTCAAAGTATTGCCAGTTGTTAGAATATCATTCTTGCTTTCTCTGATCCCAAGAAGTGTGACATAAAATTGGCTGAAATTCCATACTGAAAAATGTCTACAGGGTAGAGAAAATTTTCAAAAAGTGCAAGGAAACAAAACAGTAAACGCTGCGATATTGAGGACATTACCCATCTGAAAGGTGGATAATGAGTGACTTTTATTTTCTTCATTTTTTATGTTTGTGAGTTACAATTTTTATATGCTGAACATAAGTAATATTTGAAATGATTATAAAAATAAACCAGTTTTTGAAAGTAAAATAGGAAAAAATGTTATGCAGCATGCTTTTAATAATATGTTTTCAGTGTCTATGCATACTCAAGGACGGCAGAGTAGATGTAGTGCCAGACAGCAAGCTGCTCAAAGCCCCCAAGCCTTTTGAAATGATGGGCCCAGAACTAATGAATGAACTAGTGAACCATTCATTCATTCATTCATTCACTGAAAAATATTAATTCGGCACCTACTAGGTACTAGGTACTGTGTCAGGCCCTGGGGATATAGCAAAAAACAAGATGGCAGGATCCTCCAGGGCCTTTGTGTTGCTTAAAGTTCTGTTGCTTCCCCAGGACACGGTTCAGATATGCTGTGCAATACTAACTCTGAAAGCATGGGATGGATTTTTGAGAAGGAAATGCAGACAATCAAATAATAAATGAGCTAATCACAGATTTTTCGAAGAGTTGTTTGAGTGGGGTAGGTGGTCCCAAGACTGACAGGTGTCATTTAAGCTGGGGCCAGAGAGTGAGGCTGAAGCATTTCAACAAGAGTGTTCCAGGCAGAGGGGAAGAAGAGGCCAGGAAGTTTGGACCGTAGTGAGCCAGGGGCAGAATCCAACAAAATCATGCCAGAAAGGTAGTGGGAGCCAAATCATGCAGGGCTTGGGGCTGTGTGGTAAGGAGTGTGGGTGGCATTCTAGGTTCCGTGAGGCCATGAGTGGTTTTAAAAGGGCGGGGGGAGAGTGTCACGATCTAATTCTATTTTAAAGTTGTTCTGTCCCCTGAATGGAGATGATGTAAAGGGATAAAAGGGGAAAGGGAAAAATTTGTTGGAAGGTTTTTGTTGCAGACTAGGCAGGAGATGGTCTAAATCCTAAATAGCTGGATTTAGGACACGTTTTGGAGGTAATGTGATAGATTGATTAGATGTGGTGGTGAGTGAGGTTTGGGGGTCAAAAGAGAGGGTTTTGGGGCTGGGAGCTGAAGGAAAAGGGATAAACTAAGGGTCACTCCTAAGTCTTTGAGCAACTGGGCTCATATTAAAGACTGGGGAGAAATAGGCTTTGAGGGAATTAAAAAGAACTTTGTTTTGATTATAAGTTTGAAATGCCTATTTCCACTCAAGTGGAAATATAAGATAGTCAGCTAGAAACATGATGAGCCTGGAGTTCACCAAAGAAGTCTAGAGTGGAGATTCAAACTTGGAGAACATCCATACATGGGCGTTTTGATGTATGGGAACACTTGGGAGATGAACTTGAAGATATGGAAGAGACTAAGTCTTGGACAAAGCCCTGAGGGACCCCGGACTTTAGAGACTTTAGAAGGAGGAGATAGCAAAAGTGGTGGAGAAAAAAATGGACCTTGAAGTAGGAGGAAAATCAGGGATGTGTTATCATGGGAACCAAGAGACAATGATGTTGAAAGAATGAGGGACTGCTGAACTGTGTCCAGTCCTACTCAGAAGTCGAGGAAGATAACGACAGTAATGTGGCCATAGGACTTGGTGCCTTGGTCAGAGGCCTTGGTGGTGAAACCACATCGAGCGGCCTTGATGTTCTTAACTCCATCTCACATAAGGATTCACTGAGTTCTGGGTGTTTTGCTGACTCTACTCGGGTAGCCCAGGGTATAGCTTCTCTGATTCTCCTAGCAATTGGTCCAGTCTTCCCTCTCTGCTTTCATGGAGTTGAGGAGTAATTATGGATACAGTCAAACCAAAAAGAGAACGTGAAATGTGCCCCACAGGGGCTGGGCATCTCTGGCATTGCTCTAGGGTGCAGTGAAATGCCCTACCTAGATGAAAGATAGTCAGAAGCAGTGGAATGAAGATGACCAAAGACTCTCTCATACTCCTCCCGTCAAGAGGTGGGGTCTGTTACCCTTCCCTTGGAACTATATGGGCTCTGTGGCTACATCGACAGAATACAGCACAAGGGTAAGAAAGATGTTGGGCCCGTTTCCAGTCCTGGCCTTAAGAGATTGGCACCTTCTACTTCCTGTCTCTTGGAATGCTAGCATTTGGAGCCCGAGACACCACGTAAGAGGCCTGGCTACCGTGATGGAGAAATTACGTGGAGAGACCCTGAGATTGCACGGAGGACAACAGGAGCCCGGCAGAGCCCAGCCTTCTGGGCGTGTGAATGAAACTGTCTTACAGCCTTCAGACCAGCCCAGCAGCATATCACTGAATGGCCCCATTTGATGTTTGTGGGGCAGAATTTCTAACCCCCCCAAATCAAAAGATATAGTAACATGTTTACTGTTTTGAGCCACAGAATTTTAAGGTAGGTCATTGTAATAGATAATTAGCAATCGATAATTAGAGCTCTAGGAGATCCCTTGGACACTCAAGTCAGTTGTCCTTAGGCAGAAAGCCCACTGCCCTTTGCACGGAAACAAATATGTTTCTTTGTCAGTATTTGAATTACCAATTTTTATTTAAAGCCAGTAACATGTTGATTTTTTTTTTTATCTTACAAGAGGCAACAAAAAGAGAGAGAGAGAGAAAACTTAAGAAACTGTCAAATAGCTAATAAACAGAAATTTTAAGTGAATGTAGAGAATAACCTAGTTTTGTCTAGCCTTCTTCCCACAGGTCTACTATTATCTGCTAACTCCTTAACACCTGCAGTATGATCACCGATGTTCATAATGCTGACCCTGATTTTCTCTACTTTGATTTTGAATCTTATTTTAGTGTTAAGTGTTGCATAGGTGATACCACATGACAGTGATGCAATTGTTGGAAAAGTGCCAAGAGACACAGTTAAAGGATGTAAAAATTATTTAATTGCAGAGGAGACAGAAATTTACCTCCAGGCAGGTAACCGTACAAATCAGACGATGCAACCTGCTCCTAGACAGAGGTGCAAGCTTTCCAGATCCCCAAGTTTCCATGAGGACTTCAGTGGTTAGAGAAGCAGCAGAATGGCCTGAGGATGTCTCAGTGTCCACACTCGGGTTTTGTTTTCTTCTTTGTCAACATCTTCTTGGCCGGGGCTAGGACTAGGGTGAGGAGAATGAAGTGACCAGGGCACAAAATTTAAAGAGGCTCTCGCTCTCGGGAGTGTGCAGAAGGTCCAGTCAGTGCCTAAGTGTGAACACCTCCTTAGATTTGCACAGGGGGAGGTAACTTCCCTTACCCTAGTCCAGGGCCTGGCCCCAGTCTCTCTCAACTCTTCTGGATTTCCTGTATGTGGGCCTCCTCACAAGGTCCACATCGGTAACTGATGCAGAACAACCTTGATGGAGTCTGGCCAGTCTGTAAACCAGGCAGCCAGATGCTGTCACTAGGTCATCATCATTGCTGTGACCCCAAATCACCAGGCAGCTTGCTAGGCCCACCTGTAGAGTGCGTCTTCTCTGTGGTGTGTAAAGACCCAGTGTAGGAGGCCTGGGCTGAGGATGTGGACCTCTGGGTGAATGTCTTGACCAGGAATGTTGGCAAGGCCCGAGGCTTCTTCAAGAAGGAAGATGTGGTCATTGGGCCGACCTTTTGGTGCCCTGGCTCTGGTTTCACCCACACCATGCATGTAATACCTGTGCCTTGATCACTCCAGGGCTCCTCCTTTGGTTTCTGTCCCCTCCCCCAGCCTATCCATTAGGCCAGCAACACTTGTAGCCACTTGGGGCTGTCATGTGGCACTGGTGGGCTGGGACATCAGGGGAAGAGATTCACACCTCTGTGAAACATTATTTTTAAAACCCCACTGGGCCCCTGCAAGCCTGCTCTGTCCTGGCCCAGTGCCCACCATGCATGCGCCACACCGTTGCCTGTAGCTTGTCCCCTAGAAACAAGCAGTGGCCTTTCTCTTTCATTCAGTATGCCCTTCTCCATCCACATCCCCCATTGGTGGTCACCGTACAGTTGTTTTTTTTTTTTATTCACAAGTTTGTGTTCCTCTCCACTCCGGTCTTCAACTTGGGGTTGGGAACTTATTTGTCTGGCTTCTCAGAGGTACCTCTGTAGGTACCTCAGGTGGTCTCATGGATGTCTTTCAGAAAATGGTTATTTTAGATGATTTGCCATGGAATGTGTTCTAATAAATCATTCTTCTATACCATGGCAACAACAACAAAATTTTTGCTGAGGACATGCTGTTTCTCAGCGATAATTTCAGCACCAGGTGAAATAGAGGACAATTTCGCAGGCATCCCTGCTACTGAGAACGGAGCCTGGCTTTAGGCTCACCGGAAGCCCCTTTCTGAAAATTTATTTTTCTAATATTGTATTTGACCCAATTATTTGATTTAACCAGGATTCCCCAACCATGGTAGGAGACAAAGAACTGATAATATTTGAGATGCTGGTGGTTGTCCACAGATAAACTGTACTTGAATGGACAAGTTCATAAGTGAACTTCCCTGCCAAGTTTGTTTCTCTGGGAATGTCTTGGTTTAGTTTTGCAAAATGCTATTACCTGCCGTTGTGGTTAATACGGTGCATGAACACATCCTTCATTTTACCACTAGAAACCTATTGGTTATTTAAAATTTGCTTTTGTCTGGTGGTAGACTGAGCTGTAAAGTGAATTTCTGCACTAAATTGTAATCCCCGCCAGAAGAACCCAATTTTAGGGGCGCTTGGGTGGCGCAGTCGGTTAAGCGTCCGACTTCAGCCAGGTCACGATCTCGCGGTCCGTGAGTTCGAGCCCCACGTCGGGCTCTGGGCTGATGGCTCGGAGCCTGGAGCCTGTTTCCCATTCTGTGTCTCCCTCCCTCTCTGCCCCTCCCCCGTTCATGCTCTGTCTCTCTCTGTCCCAAAAATAAATAAACGTTGAAAAAAAAAAATTAAAAAAAAAAAAAAAAAAAAAAAAAGAAGAACCCAATTTTATAGTCTGGATTCTAGTATCATTTGGTGTGCTGTCACAAAAATCGGAAAGCCTAGGACGAACCTGCGTGTTTGACTTTGAAATTGTGGTTGAAATAACATTGTTTTAGCCTCTGACTTGTTATCATAAGGAGCAAACTAGGTATATGAGAGATCAGGCCACAATGGCAATCGTTGAGTGAATTAAGTCTTAAAAATATGAAATAGGAAGTCTTGAAAATATGAAAAATGGAATAGGACTAATAACTCATGTAGTAAATCAAGCTGAAAAATTATATCACATTAAAGAATAAGGTGTTTTATAAAATTTATCAGATTGAATTTTTTGTTAACACATGTTTCCAAGGCGTTAGCTGTATGATTAAAAATCTCAGTCCTTCCTCTACTCTAGATTTACATTTTGCCAAGTATTCTTATTGCTTCAGTCAATTTAAATTTCTGAGATTGATGATCCTTGTAGAATCCAGTGCCTCATCGTGAGGTCTGACACTCAAAATAACCATTCTCAGAGGCTTACTCATTTCATAATCGAAAACTCAAAAAGTTTTGTTACCAAAAGAGAAAGTTTTTCCTCCTTTCTATTCATACTCACTTGGCAAATACTTTCAAAATGGAAAACATATGAAGTAATTTAGGTTTCTGTGTTACAGATACTCTGAAGAGAACAATTAATTGAAGTGCCAAAAAAAACCACATTAATTCCTGAGATATCTGTAGTTATTGTCGCCTCTGATTATTAGTGAGAAACATACCTTGTGTTGGCTTATCATTTGTCTCTCTCATTGCTTCCTTTCTGTGCTGTGACGAATTCCAAATCCTATAAGGTATGCCATTTTCCTCTAACCTAGTATCACATTTTGCCTTCAACTACTGCCCTAAAAACTTTTCAACCTCCTCTTGATTTTCTTGATTTACTTAGAACAAAGTGGCACCGATAACGTGAAGATGCATGTAATCAATTAATAATAGCATATACTGAAAGATGTCTACATTGTAGGCTAAACATTGTGCTGATCTCTTTGCCTTTTATGATGTGTGTGTGTGTGTGTGTGTGTGTGTGTGTGTGTGTGTGATTTTTTTCCAGAAATCTTTTCCCAGGAACAAGATCATAAAAATTCTACATTTCTTCTAAAAATTTTACATTTTATCGTATATAGGTTTTCAGTATACCTGGAATTAATTTTGTTTGTGATATGATACAGGAATTCAAACTTACTACTTTTCCCACATGGGTAACCAGTTTCCCAGGATCCAACTATTCATCTATGTATTCTACCAATTATTAGCAGTTTCACCCCCCCCTAGTGATCAGGTTTTCACATAGGCCTGGATCTGTTTCTAAATTAAAATATTTTAATGTTTATTTTTGAGAGAGAGAGAGAGAGTGGGGGGTGGGAGAGAGAGAACGAACGAGTGGGGGAGAGGCAGAGGGGGAGGGAGACACAGAATCTGAAGCAGGCTCCAGGCTCCGAGCTGTCAGCACAGAGCCCGATGCGGGGGTCGGACTTAAGGACCGCGAGATCATGACCTGAACTGAAGTCAGATGCTCAACTGACTGAGCCACCCCGGAGCCCAGCCTGGGTCTATTTCTGAGCTCGCTCTTCTGTTCCACAGTTTGCTAATCTCCTTACCCATACCACGTAGCCTCAATTAGTGCATGTTGACAAGAAGCACCGTTATTCGGAAGGATTGGTTCTCCTATCTTGTTGTTCGAAATTGTCTATGCCCTTGTTAGCTTTTTGCTTTTCCATGTAAATTATGGAATCAACTTATCAAATTTCGTGAATAACTTTGTTGACATTTCTGCCAGAATCACATTTGGCTTGTGGGTTAATTGGGAGATTCTCCTCATCCTCAAATGTTACCTTTTTGTTTATTCATGTATTTTAGGTTTTCTCATAAAGTGTTTGTAATTTTCTCCACATCACCTATCTTTACATCCTTCACTGTGAGTGAGATCTTTACACTTTACCTTCTAATCCACTATGATGGGTTTAAAGGAATGTTACTGATTTTAGAATGTGGGTCTTGTGTTTCACAAGTTGGCCAATCTTTTTATCAGTGTTAGTAACTTATTCACAGGTTGTCTTTGGTTTTCTATACTGACAATCATATCGTGTGCAATAAAGGACAGTTTTATTTCTTCCTTTCCAATTCTTAGATCTCTCAATTTTTTCTTGATTTAATATATTGGTTAGGATGTCTGCAGGGTATTAACTAGAATTCTCAGCCTGGATCCTTGTCCTGACACTGAATTTAAAGGAAATACTGTATTTCTAGAGTTTTACCATTTAGTGTGATGCTTGCCATTGGTTTTTGGTAAAAATGGTATCAGGTTATCAGCAAAATTGCTGCAATCCTATGAAAGGTGTAAGACAGCAGGGTTATTGGAACAAGCTACAGTCTTCACTTTGCAATTGTTCTTGAAGTTAGAACTAATATTCATCATCACACTCTTCTGTAACCATTCTAGAATTCATTCATGCTTAGACATTATTTCAGCATGTCTTAGTTGCTTGCCTGGTCAGTGATGCAGATCTTCATCCCTTTGAGGTCTGAGCCCTGGTCTATTTTTATTTTTAACACCCGTTGGATCATGGTTGCCGAGATTTCCGATTAATATGATTGCAGGGCACATGAAATATCCCTGTGCATTCTCTAGTTTCTAGACACTCTCTTTTCTGCTCTTATTATATAGCGGCAATCCTAGGTCTTCATTTTTTGCAGTCAGGGTCAGTAACTCCCACTGTGACCAAGTGATCCTTTCTTTGGCTACTAGTCTACTGGAATGAGAAGCCCATATGATCAACAGGAATTATAGCTTCAGGTTCACACTGTGTCCTCTGGTAGAAGTTTCCACTTCTCCACGAACCTCCTGGACATCTGGTCCACAAGCAAATGCTGCTAAGGTTGTAGAGAAAAGAAACACACGTTCAGCAAGGGGGCCACTGAGAGGAATGGGGACAGGGCCCGATCCTACTTCCACCTGTTGGTTTCACAGCCGTGTATTTCAGTTATTGAGGATGAAGCCCCCTGACTTCCACTCCAGACTCCATGCCATGAATGTAATTATTTCCACCCTGTCTCTGATGATGAAGTGCCACCATTTGGCCTCTGCCATCTCCACATACCATCAACGCCATGATATGTTGATGTTGAAGTCAGGAGCCCAGTTCCCCAACGGTATCTCGTACTGTCAGCTTTAACTTACAGAGGACAGCCACTGACCAGTTTCTCAGGGAGTATCACCTGTGCATTCTGCCATTGGGCCTTTCTGGAGTATAGATTCAGGTGCGGGGTTCTCTAACCTTAAATTCATTCCAGTATTCTCACCTCTTGGAGCCTTCTGACTCCCACTCAGTACTGTGCTAGGGCAAGTTCATGACCTCTCTCTCATTTACTGTGGGCCATTGTCATGCTCAGTCTTCAAGAGGCTACTCGAGGCATCTTTTTGGACGAGTCTTGGGTGGTCTCGCCAGAATATCAAGCTCCCAAATCATGGGAGAAATTCTTCCTGATCCCACCTATATTTTCTGCCTTCTAGTCCAGAACCTCAAAGATCTGTATTCTCCAGTCTCCAGGTCCCTACTTGCACACATTATCAGGTCCTGCAATGCTATGAGCATGTATCCCCCTTTCTACCACAGCAGGGACTGTATTCCTTCCCTGGGCTGTGGTGCACCTTCATACAGATTTCAGGAACAGAAAGCAGAGTAGCTCTTGAGGGGGACAAGCCTTAATGAAGCACCTGCCTCACCCGAGGCAGATCTCCAGGTGAGAGGAGGCTGTTCTCTGGAACGAGAAAGGGTGCTGCTTATTCTAGGGTGGGAGAATTCGAAGGATTCTAGAGATACAAGATTCTCAGGTCTTTCTACATCCAGGTCTCAGGGGCCCACTCCTATCCTATCAAGTCCACTGGTATACTTTAGACATAGGAGACACATCAAAGACCTCTTGTAGTTCTACATATTTTTTTTATAATTTTTTAAATGTTTGATTTATTTTCGAGAGAT